ATGCGCAGGGTCTTTTTAATAAACTGGCCAAATTGCAAGATCATTAAGTTTCCCGATCATATGATGTCACAGTTATCACCAACACGTGGTTGCACAGGCGAATGACAGACTCTGAATTTTCGCTACCAGGCATGTCACTAATCCAGAAATATAGGTTCACAAAAGGAGGAGGGGTAATCCTGTGTTACCGGAACGACTTACTGTGCGAAGCCGTGGCGGAATCAGACTCACCGTTCCCCGACTCTCTTTGGTTCCACTTGCAGTTAAAAGGCAGGAACGTTTGTCTTATTGTCTTAGTGTACGGCCGCCCTACCTCTACACCCGAAACCGACTGCCACCTAGCGGCTCTTTTAAGATGCACTTACAGCAAAAGTACACCCACATAGATATCATGTTTGATTTCAACGTACATTGTGTAGAAACTCCTGTCACGATCAGCGAACAATTCAAAGCCGATCTACAAGATCTCGTAACCAGTGTTCCTCTTTACAATCACATCACTCTGCTTACTCGATTCAGAACGGGTAACAGGTCATCTGTGCTGGATCTTGTGCTTACCAGCGAGGAGCATATGATTGCTGTTTTGGTTTTAGACTGCCCGTTGGGTCCCTGTGATCACGCACTCATCAGTTTCAACTTCGTCTGCTACGCGGAATATCGGAATGGGAGCAATGAGACTGTACGAACGGTAAAGTCCCAAAGGAACTTTAATATATTCCCTACCTGGATTGTTTACATGAGGACACATTATCTCTATTCCCTAATTATTCTGCTCATTTTACGTTGCTTTACTCTGTGTCCTACAATCGGTTTAATATCGTGTATTTATTCCTTTCACTCTCCATCACTGACATCCTTGACGGTTCAAGGTCATTCATATTAATATGTTTCTGCGACACTGCCCAAATATTTGCACGCCGCCGCACTCTGTGCAATTTCTGCCCTATTGCACTACGAATGCAAAACCTATTCGTAAGTCATGTACTGTATTTAATATGCCTTATAGAACCATGATTACAGGCCAATTCGTTTTATTCTTCTGCCCAGATTTTGCGTCAAGTCTAGGTTTATATGTTCGTAGTTTTCGTACGACGTACTTAGTTTAGGCTTCGTGTCGTTGGTACACGAACCACCACAAGCTACGATCGATTAGTACAGATCTTCAGCGCTACAACTTGGATGTTCCTTGCAAAAGAACCCCCAGAAATCGTCTTGCTCGAGCTTGTCAACACCTTCAGTCAGCTGATTGCAAAGGCTACAGAAATATGAGTTTGCAATTAGTGTACATCAGTTTCTTTCTTTAGGAGCAGCACAAGAAAATGGAAGACAATACGCAACGCAGCATAACGACTGTACAGATAAGCTCCAGCACCAAAACCTTGGGACAACTACGTAGCCAAACTTAACCAGTGCACCCAGCTACTAAGTGAGGACAAAGACGATCATCGGTAGAACATCGCAAAAACCTTCAATGCTAACCACAAACTGCTGAAAAAATACGTCAATAGCCTACGCAAGGTGTGGCAAGGATTTCCTCCACATAGGACGGCCCAACATAGGATGGCCCAACAACAACGGCTGTGGAAGCAACAAACGCGCTGCGGATGCAAAATGCCCACACCTTTCAGAAGTTCTTGCCACCAAGCGATCTTCCAACCTTTGTCGTCTCCTCGCCAGGACTAAGCCGCATCATTTTTACCGCGGACGCTGCATTGCAAAAGTTGACTTCTCTACGCAAACCCAGCTCGCCGGGTGTTGACACCATTCGTCCAGAGGCGCTGGAAGCAGCAGCAAGCCAATTGGTAGGAACTTTAGCTCCGTTTTTCCAGCTCTGCTTAGACCAGAATCAAGTTCCCGCCATATGGAAGCTTGGAATAATACTCCCGATTCACAAAGGTAGAAACAGAACTGATCCCCCCAACTACGGCCCAGTATCCCTTCTTCCTATACTCTCAGGGTCATGGAATGCATAGTTGCCGATGTACTGGTATTCTACCTGGAAAACTGTAACATCATCACGCCTAAGCAGCACGGTTTCCGTCGACAGCGGTCATGCACAACAAATTCACTCATCACACGCAGTAGTTGGACCGAGTCAGCTGATGCTAGAGAAGGCATTGATGTGATCCACCTAGATTTTTCCAAGGCTTTTGATCGTCTAGACCATCGAATACTACTTGCCAAGCTGCAGCATTACGGGATCGGAGACCCTCTATTAAACTGGATCGCCAACTTTCTACTTCAACTGCAATTAATGGTCAGACTTCGGAGCTCTTTATCGGACCCCATACAAATCGAATGTTGTGTGCCGCAAGGCTCAGTTCTAGGTCTACGATTGTTTTAGTGTTTACCAATGATGTTGCACAGGGAATCGCTTCAATCTTCCTAATGTTTGCGGACGATATCACGATATGACGCAGGATCTAGGCGAACGCCGACCATCATTTGCTTCAGAGTGACCTAGATACGACGTATGGTCAACCTAAAATTCATTGCATATCAACGTGTACAAACGCAAGGTGCTTTCCATCCGACACCAGAACAACTAGTCCTACCGGCTCGGAACGAATACACCACAACAATCAACTGTCGAACGTGACTTAGTTATCCTGGTTCAAGATGACTTGGCTTCCTCCAGCCAATCTGAGAAGGCCTCGAAGACTGGAAACCAACACGTCGGGCTGTAGCGATGGGCTTTTGGACCAATAAACAGCTCCATATTTCGAAAAATGCTCAGTGCGTATGTTCGCCCCCCTTGTCGAATACACAATTCAAGCTTGGCATCCATGACTGAAACACGACCTTAATGCATTGGAACAGCCACAACGTCAGGCATCTAAGAACGTAATTGGAATGAGCAACATATTATACCAGCAGAAGCTGCAACGCTTGGGGATATTCTGTGGAAACTATCGCGGAATAGGAGGCGACCTGATTATGGCATACTTGATTCTGCGAGACCCACATCATGCGTTTCGCCCTATACTGCAACTCAGCGGCAATGCAAACCTGAGGGACCACTCAGGACCACTCGCTGTACAGTATAGCCGCCTGGAGTGCCGCAGAAATTTCTTTTCCATTCCTGTCTGTCATCCGTGGAAAGCTCTCCCAGTATCGGTCGTCTCTGCACCGACACTAACAGTATTTAAAAGACGGTTGGATCACGCCTTCAAGCACTTACACTTTGTCACTTAGCGCTACGTCTCCATCCCACACCTTGAGTTTACCATGGAATTATTTGATGTTAACTGCGGGTGCTGTGAACCTAAGCGGATTGTAGAACTACGGCGGAGCAAACGATAAGTCCTTGTTGTCATAGATAAAGTACTAACTGTTTTACTATCATTAGCGCTATTTCGATATCCCTGCAAACTATCCAACGGGACTTGTAAAGCAACGCTTCTTAACCCGTATACATTCATTATTCATTGTACTATGCAGCAAACCTTCGTCTAAGGTTCAGCTCAGTGCCGGCCCTGAACCAACAACTCGAGGACAGAACTCCAAGATCAAGTAGCCCCTTCTGTGTGTCGATCAAAATATATCAGAAGTACTACCCACAAACTGTCCGACAGAACCAGGGAACGCTCTCCAGTTTGGCTGTATAGCGGCGTGACTAGATCAGTTGTAAGCGCAACGTCTGCACACCTGGTCCGTTCGGACCACCGGATCAGGTCGTTGCAGCCCACCTACCGCGTACCCAGATGCAACACAAGAGCGGTTAGATGTCCTCTACTGGCAGCGGTCGTGGTAATGTCCATTCTGCTTCATGACGTTGACCTATGTGCACAAAAGAAATTTGTCCAGGCACTCACTCTACACTGGTCCCCTGTGACACTGACACATAGTGTGAATAACACCACATACAAACGCACTCTTGATTGCCGTGGAGCCAATCACCTAGCTTGGTCACTCAGACCACCTGGGCTTTTGATCCTGTACCCTTATTTGATGTGTATACTCACGTCATTCATTTTGGTCTATTAGCCTGATGAGGAACCACTGCAAATAGCTTGTTTGCTAAGATTTGTTCAGCTATCTTACACTACTCGTTAGTAGCTTGCGCTTTGCCTAATTCACCTGCTAGCCATGGTCCATGTTTCGTTCTTCAACAACCATGTGACATTTTGGGAACCCCCGGCTTCATCGACTTAGTACAGTGGTAAGGTTTCTCAGCCTACATCCAAGTGCTGTGAGCTGTCTGCTAAGAGCCATCTGTCAGCCAATGAGAGGTACCTCAGATTTAGTGTACTTACGGAACCACGGTCTTTCATTCTCAGCTTCCCAAAACAGTCTCTATTTAAAGTAGCTAAATGCGATCGGTGAGTATGTGCTATGAAACCGGCTCAGGCAGTCGTTTGACCCAGCATTAAACTTTACACCACCTATAGTTGAAACTTGACACACCAGGAATGTGCAACTGGTCTACTAGTGATCTATCAGGGAACAAGCAATATGTGCCTGGAGCGAGGGCAGGATTAATTGTGTAGGTAGGTTATTTACCGGTGGTGTGTAGATTCTTCCGTTGGTCGCATAAACCTCTTGGCAAACTTCTTTGCGCCACAGTCCTAAATGGCAATCGCCACCAGAATGGCGTCTTTCATAGGCGTTCGGTTTTATGTGAACGACAATGGGGATGATGACTAACCCACTGACATCAACAGACTTTTCAAACGGTTAATATGTTCGTCTCGTATCCAAAACACCGAAGGACATTCAATGGAGCCTTGGATGAAAATCCATTCAAGCCTTCGGTCATTTAATTAGGAGCTACACAATTAGGAGAAAACTGTCAGACTTTTCCGCATATAGGAAAACGTTTTTATCACACCCGTGCTCCTCTGTTACCGCAAATGCGTTCGACTAGGGGTTTTACGTTTCTAACATCCGCCCTTGTGATTTGTTCTAAAAATGTCACTTGAGTATTATTGTATTTGGTATTTACCAATCAATGGTTTTGTAACATATTCTAATCCATTCTTCCCGCATAAAATTTATAGAGCACCAGCATCGGAATCCAGAGATTGAACAGACCTACTCAAACGAACGCCACTGCGGAAACCGCCTCGACACTCGAACCAAAACAGCCCTTCGTCCTGGCCCTCCAAACGATCTGACGAGTAAACAGAGGCCGTATCGGACTAAATCTTACACAGCTTCTCCGAAAAGTGTTCATATCACAACGCGTAGGCCACAACAGTTGATCACTCCTGAAGGCGATTCTCGCGCAACAGATCGTTTTGATCAAAAGCCCCCCTTAAATTCGGATGGTTTAAAAGTACGCAGTCTTTGTACCATTTCCACCGATATCGTTTTGACTGACTTGCTCAAGCTTGCATATATTTAAATTAGTTCATCTTTCATCTAGAACACTACTCCTCTAATTAGGACAGGGCTGCACCGTACCATTTCAGTTGTCAAAGTGCTTTACCCGTTTTTAAACACTACTCAAAACGGTTCTAAGCACTTAACCCTTGGTATAGAATTCCTCAAGTTGAATCTAAAAGGGGTGACATGGTAGTAACTATTGAATAGTATCCGTCTACTTTATGCTGTCCCCACACTTGTGTAGTCATGCAAATGCAGGTTCACACCTGTAACTAGCCATAGGAACTGCCCAACATGTCATAGGCCGTCTGGTATATACTTGCTGGGTAGCTTAAAATCATATCTCGGTTACCTTCGGGCTCTTTGTGAACTTATTCGTTTGTAGGAAATGGGACACGGGCTGTTAGGTCAGCCGCTTTACTTATAAACTAAGAATCTGGTAACAGTGATAACTCAGTTGACCACGGAACGCACTAATCTTACCCGACCTCAACATATCGTCCCACATCTTGCTCTGTCCTCCGTGAGATCTCCCAGTTATAAGTCATTCACTTGATTTAGATCCGTACCGGTAGCTAAGGGGCTATCCACCGAACCAATTACCGGACCAACTTCGCAACACGTGCACTATGTGCACAAACAGTACAGAATTGCTTGATGCCTGGATGACGCTCAAAACACCCAGCGCACATATGCAGGGAGGAGGAAGGTTCCCGTTAAAACAGTTATTACACGGAACCAAATCGTAAGTGGCATAAGCTGCTGACTGGCGGTTCAAGCCGCTTGTAGCCATGGGTTCGAAACCTGATGGATCTGATGGATGCGCACTACTGACGATGCCCAACAGGGTGAAACTGCAGTCTAGTGCTTTTCCGAGCATGTGGACGACTATCTGATTTGGAAGCTGACTGCGAAGAACTTCAATTAATTAAATCGTAAGCATGCCGATCAAGGAAGTCATTTAATGGTAATGCTAACCTTCAACGTAGGGTCAATCGACTCCACTATCCTTACTTGGATACAGCTGGGAACAATCGCCTAGTTAATGATCGGGATGATGACCTTACGGTACTGGTTTAACCTAATTATACGAACAACGCGTGTGAAGAGTTTTCTGAGTTGCTTTCTCCTAAAACCACACTCTACCAACGATCAGTTTCGTCCTGATTTGGACTGTTCAGGTAGAGATAGCCTGAGTCAAGAGTGGGACCCGAAGCGGACTGGTTAACTGCTTACGCTTTGGTCACTAGGCCAGGGCTTTGCGAGAACCTCTTAATACAGCTGTTAGAAGTTCATTGTCGGGTCTTGGAGTACGCGCCGTGTCTATGGAGCGTGACACGCAATCTCAATTGTGGCCACGGTTTACTTTGAAGCCACTCTGAAACTCTCCACTTCGGATGTGGTCCCAGTAATCTAAATGACAATGTTTTGCTTCAAACTAAACCGCGGCCTCAATTGAGATTGCAACTCGCAATCTAAACACACGGCGTGTACTTCATGTCCCAGCAATGAACAATGCATATGGTTTTGGTACGAAGCTGCCCGGCGCTCAGTATTTTGCAGTATCCACGCAGATGACGCCGTATTGAATGATAACCCAACGTTTATGCGCATTGCTCTTCAGCGAATTGTTAAAGGAAAACGCCGGCGCGCATCATTTACCCTGTGGGGTCATATGAATTGAAAAGCGTCTCAGGATACCTCCGACGCAATGCTCCTCACCCTCCGAGCTTAATAGCATAGCCAAGGCAGTTGTCTTGATTATCAACGCAATCACTCGAATGGATCTCCTCGATCAGTGCAAACAGCTACCGTATAACATGGCGTTACTTGGAGCGGTCGGATAAAATTTCAATAGACCCCGTATTCGTTCCCAGATTAGCCTACCACTGGCTGCAAACAGCCACAGACGACAGTGCATACCAAGGGATCATAAGTGATGCACGCTGTAACAACCACAACTTCATCCATGTACTTCGGTGTAAATTTGCAGCACTAAGGCTGGGAGGGATGAAGGTGGGAATCACAATTAATCAGCTGATGTGGCGCACCACTCCAACATACATAGAACTGATCCGGGGAAACATAATTGCACATGTTTCCTTACTTGAATTACTCTTCGGGTCCAGCGCTATCACGAAAGTCGGTGAACCCTGTCAGCCCCAGAGAAATCTGAGCAACGTATATCTTATCACTGATCTCTTCGGATGCTACTATGGCTGACTTGTCATACGAGTAAGCAAGTCAAGTATGCATCAATCGTCAATGTAATCGGACAGTAGCGACTAGGAGCAACCTATACCTCGTTAGTCTCAGTACCAGCACTTATGTAGCAAGGATGCAACATCACCAAAGTAATAAGCCTCTATACTCGCTAGGGTAACATGCATATGTAATGTTCTAACTGTAGGACTAGACAGAAAAGGGAGTGAAAAGAATTAGTCCAACATGCAAAACTTAAAATAGGATAAGAATTAGTCGGCGGCTCAAGGACTAGGGGATACATGCGCAACAGCTGTTAAGTACGGGTCTCCCTGTTGTCGAATAATGCACGGTATCTGGTCATGTATAGCTCACGTGTTACGATGGACACCTCCAGTTAGATAAAGACACCTACCGTCTCGTTGTAAAGTCAGCAGGCAGGATGAAACTCAATGGGAGCGGTGTTGTTCCCCTGTTCTAGCGCGGGCACTTTTTCCGCTAACTACGACGGTGTCTAATAAAACAAAAACAAATCGAATGCCTATTATTGCGCAGAAAGCTACTAAAGTTATCAAGGGGAATTTTGAACTCCATTCTGTCATATTTTTTCAACATTTCCGGCTTCATTTTTGTAAGTCGTGTCAGAGCCAAGGAATCTGAGTAGCAGGTCAGAGGACAATACTGTAGTGGAACGGATGGCAAGAACCGCAGGCGTAAGGGAAAAGCCGAGAAAACCAAGGAAGAGGAAGACTAACAAGGGTAACAGGGAGGAACGTCAACAAAGATGCTCGGGACCTACGGAACAAGTGGGAAACAGTCCATGAGCGACGAACGATCTTAGGCCCAGAACGAGAAGAGCAGCAACGTAGTGGTGGCTGGCCCGATTTTCCGGAGAGATGCGTCTTTGGCCACGCAATAACCTAAAGGAGATTGGCGCAACCCGGATTACACGATTCAAAAGCATTAAAACGAATGCAGGCCGGTCAGACTACGGCGAGCGGAAGCGAAGACACGAGAGTAAGTGGATGAAAAAGATCTCGCGTTGTGTCTGAAATCGGGACATGAATGTGACACAGCGAAAGGACAATGCGTGCTGCCTGATGAGCTGGGAATGTCTCCGTACGTGCACGTGTGCGTGCTAGCTTGTGAACCAGTGGGAACTAATCAGGCAGTACAGTGAGCGCGTGACCGGACCGAATATCAGCTGACCTAACGCGTCCATCGACATATGGACAACATATACCGGTGCTCTCATGGGATTCTTGCTGGTCGCTTGATCCGTGTTCATGATGAGTGTTCAGGCCGCTGTTCTACGGCATTATCTGGGCGAACATGCACGTGATCACATCGTAATGTCCAGGTTGCAGTAACAATCACCGCAGGCGTATAAGTTGAGCCAAGGGGGTAAGTGGTATCAACTCGTTGGCAACATGCTCTGTTTCCTAGAGGATGGTGTATTGGTTCTGACATCCCCTGGTGAGTTAAACCATGGTGCCAATGGTCTGTCGAGAATTCACTGGTGCTTATGAACACCAACTCTCAACGCATGACTGGAGTGCGTAACTATTCAAATAAAATGGCAGTCGTTGCGGAAATATAAACAGTAAATATATGATAGTGGAGCAACGCGTAACACTAAAAGTACTAAGTAGTTGCTGTTGACCCAGGTCGTTCTGGCCCAACCGAAGCGAAGAGCCATTATGTATGCTACACCGAGCTCGGTATCGGAAAATCCCCACCGATTCTCTGCAAGGGCCGCCTAAGTGCTTTTCATTCTCCCGGAACTAGAAAGATCACGCAAGAACTAGCTGGTGATCCCATAGGTAGAAATGACTACAAATGTATTTCGGCGAATTTGACTGTGTTTACTTTGAGTAAGTAACAGTGAGTAGTGGATTGGTTCAATGGGTTGAAAGTTTGCACTGGATCCCAATCGGAATGCAAACTTGTCAGTCAAAAGAATGCGACTGCGTACCATAGTGCTGGTGTGATCGTAGCGGTAAGACGCGAGCAGATTGATAGACAAAAACCCACACAAATACACGATAAACTACCTGGCCCATCGGGTCGACAGACATAAAGATGCTGGTCACGTTCGACCATCGCTGCCTTCGCACCTTAGCTCATGTCTGGTGGGAGCATTGGGTGAGCAATGTGCATGTTCGGCGTTGTGTATTTGGTGAAGGAAGAGCTAGTGAACCGCTCAGCACCGTTATATCACGCGCTAGCCTCCGATGGGTGGGCCACGTGTTGCGCATGCCAGCACACCGACTCCCGCGACGTGCATTGTTTGTGCGCCCAGCGTCTGGGTGGAAGAGGAGGAGGGGAGGTCAAGCGATGATTTGGTCGAGAGAAACAAGATACCCTCACCTCGAAGTTAACGTCGGTTGGTGCATGCCAACTGCCGAATCGGGGTCGAAGGTCGATGAACCCGTTTGGTTGGACACACGTGCCGACATGATGAAGAGCCGGCCCAAATAGCGTTAGTGCTGTGAGTTCCTTTGTTCATCCCGTTATTACATTCTCCCTCTAATCACGAGCTTCCTGCAAATTAATAATATGACATTCAACATTATACTACTTAGTTTTTTAGTCATTTTGTCCAGTTATTTTTATTGTCTCTGTGTATTGCGGCACATGAGCTGAGACGTGTTTCTCACCATCAGCTAACGTGTATTGATGATGATTATAGTGACACGATACATCAGCTTACTAATCTTCTAGGAGTTTAACCAATTGGTATAGGCTAACTGGTACAGACTAATTTCAACGTCCTTTCGATGCACCTCCAGAAGAATTCATCTGTTCATACTGCCACAAGGTATGATCTAGTAAACGCGGTCATCGCCGTATGGGCCAATCTTGTTTACCGCTCCTAATCAACTTTCGAAATGCTTGCAAGCGAAGTCTAGCTTGTTACATCGCGTCGACATATGATATTCCTTCCAGTATTCCTTAAGTCCCTCGACTTTTCAACTCCGTGTTCCAGGACACTAATATGGTTTCATCCCCTATTTACATTACAACCCAAACACTGCTTCGTTTTAAAATAACACAACTGCCATTCAGTATGCTGGATAGATTCCATATTAACTGTATACGCTGCAGTACGTAAGGACACTACATGGCCCAAGCACCACTTGCTGGTCTCCTTGTATGCTATCAGCGGAAAATCCTGGTGGTTATTTGGTGTAGGCGTCAAGGAGGATTCTGAAAGATGTACGGACGAAACATATTTCCTTAAGACTGAGTTTGAGAGCGTAATGGATGCAATTAACTGAGAAAATGTGTAGAATGACCTGATGCTATCAATAGTATAGTTGTACCAACAAATATTACAGCTCTGACAATCTGCTATTTTTTCGGTTCATAGCTAATAATGTTAGACACACTGAGAACAAATCCACTCCTCCACGCCATCCCAGGTTGTATTTGTGCATCACTGAATTCTCATTCCATTCCTCATTAGCCACCCTCGGCTCACCAGCGAGTCGGAACGCGTTGTCCTGTCGTTCGCGCATCTCCGAACAAAGTACAAGCGGACGAGCCACCACAAACTCAGCCGAGGAGTTACAGTAAACAGTTGAGTAACCCCGTAGTTTTGCGTACATTGACCGGAGCTAACCCTACTCGTCAACAGGTGAGTTAGTGCATAGTAAAAGAGAGCCCACTGTTTGCATAACCAAATCATTTGAAATTAATTTGATCTCTGAAGCGAATGCATACACGCCGCCGGAAGTGGGCCCCATCTGTCCAAAAAGTCATTTTTAGAAGCGGGGCTCAGCCACGGGCCACTGTGGCCGAACCTGTAGTAACATAATGTCTGAGAACATTAACCTGATTGAAACCAGTCGCGAGGTGCAAGGTTTTGAACTGACAATATGTAACAATCATAATCTGAACTGCGATGCTACCGGCCACTGGCCAATGAACTGGACCAGAGTTGTCCAAACTATTTGCAAGGAGGGCCACATTTTTTGTGATAAATAGCTTTCCGGCCGTATTCAGTCTACCGTTAAGATAATAACAAAAATTACACATATACGAAAAACATCCAAGCCTGCGTTTTTCATTTCATGATGAGGCCGTGTGCCAGTTGAAATGTTAACGCGGGCCGCACTTGGCCGGCGAGCCCGACTTTGAACATCCCTGAACTGAACGAACGGAGTGTAGGTAAGAACCAGTTCTAAGGCCTCATGCATTAAGCACCCGAAGTCACTTGCCCGCCCTGATTCAGATGTCTGCACAATCGATGAATTTCTGGAGCCGCGGTAAGGCAGACCAAATCAGGCGAGATCGTCCGGGTAAGATTGTAGCAACACTTCGTACCTGACCAAATCTTCTTGTGTGTCAAAACTCTCTGGATTTCTTCCCTCCGGCAACAACATCATGACCGTTGTTTCCTCCTGATTCTTGCTCCCGCTGTGTTTCAGCTCCAGTTACTGTCACATTCCCTAAACTTAAATGCAACAAGACTAATCGCTTTGTTTCCCACCCGCTGTTCTACGCACCAGCTTGCAGCCTTATCAACCCCTTTTAAACCGATCAATTTCGATAAACTTACTATCAGCCGTTCTCAATAGTTCAGGTAGTTGTTCTCGTTTTGAGTTCCGCTGCATGTGGAAAGAACAGCATTCTTTCGATTGGAACCACTAACTGTGCATGCGCTACTGAATTTAGAATAAACAGCACTGCACGTCGTTCTGTGTGTCTCGCCTTCACAGTTGCAGTTACTGCAAAAGCACGGAGCCATTGTGCCATTAGCAAACAAAATATATATGTTAAAACATACGGGCTACGCAGACATAAGTCTTCCCTAAATTAGCATATGAAATAAGCTGGTTAGCAACGAATCCACGTTACGTACAAAATGTCCAGCATTTACTAAAACACTACTACAAATGCAATAAAGTTACCGAAGATAAGCGCAAATTAGCGTAAGCAACCTGTGCAAATTAATAGAAATTATACAGGTAGGCAGAACAAACCAAATATAGTGGAATAAAATTTATTCGTTTTTAAAAGACCTAGTTTCAATGTAACTTGATTTAGCCCAACTGCGGTGGGGAAGCATCATGAATGCAACATCAGCCTCAGCATGAGGCACAACATATGAGAATATGCAATAAATTGGTTGCCAGATAATCCGCCCTAGGTTTAAGACGTCAGAAGATATATTTTAAGAAATTGCCGCAAACACAAAATTGTTATCAAAGTTAACGACGAGTAACTTGAGCTACGTATGCAAGTTAAGATAAGATAGTTCACGTAGACATTAATGCGACAATATAGCAAACTCACCACCTGAAATAAAGAGACCCAGCATGCAAGCAAGCGGTTAATAAACGGAATGCAGCGTACCTACAAACACTACGCCGGTTCTGTCTACGTTATCTGCAGGACCCGTCGTTGTTTCGGTGTTGGCCCCGAGTGGCCCCGCTCATGACTCAATAGGCCTGCCTGACTCAGGCACTCGCAATCGCATGTGCACTCGATGTCGTTGGAGTACAACCCAGCGGCGCCAGCTGCTTCCGCACTTGCCGCTTCTTCTCCGCATGCATGAGGCCTTTCTCCTGCACCTCGGCAACAGCTCTTTTATCAAATCGCGCCATGCACGCCGATAAACCGCCTTCGATTCCCATGACCTGCACTCATGCTTAGAACTTGAGATGCTCACTTTGATCATGTATATAAATATATACATATATATATATCATATATCATATATATAGTCTGAAAACAGCAAATCTGCCATCAGAACCATGGCATGCACTACTATACAAGCACTAAACGTCCCTGTTAATTGCCGTATAGTCCGTCGCAGACACTGTTGATGAAACTGCTCGAGATATGGCACATCCGCCGGTACATCGTCCACGTTTTGCCGCAGTATAGAAGAACGAACAGCCCCATGGTTGTGTACACCATCAGCTTCGTACCAACGGTAATCTGACGTTTGTTCCACACTCGGTACTCTTGCTTCCCGAATGCCGCCGCTGTCTTCGAGACGCGAATACAAAGTCCATTGTGAAGCTGCTGGTCAGTCGACATTTCACTCCTAAGGTTGCAAAAGCGGGAGGTGCTTTTTAATACTTCAGCACCAATACTGATTCGCGGCACCGTTGTAGATTGTACCTCCGGTGAAGGCTGAAAGAGACAGTCAGTTTTGCTCGTGTTGATGGTGAGCCTGAATTGGGCAGCCGTCGGAGCCAGAGCACTAGTCATGTGATTTAACTAATCCACACCGTGTTCAAACCACGCATAGTCGTCAGAAAACAGCAACATATGGATAGTTTTCTCACAGACGAACGTTCTCGCATCGAAACGACGGATGTTCAGCAACCCACCATCAATACGGTGCTCGACCCGAACTCCGTCAGCATAAGCCGTATCAAAAGCACAAGACATCATGGCATGAAGATAAATATTAAACAGAGCAGGAGCTGAGACACAGCCTTGCTTCACACCAGAGACAACTGCAAAGTGATACGAGGTCTCTTCACTCAGCTGGACCCTCTCCCAATTGTTACTGAGAGGAACATCCATGGGATCACCAATTTTGGGGCTCATTGCAGAAGCCGTAATGCAGCAATTAGAGCGCATGCACTACCATCTATCAGCCCGAAACTATGGATACGATACGTGGACGACACGTTTGTCATCGTAAAACGGAACAGAGTACAGGCCACTCACGATTTGCTCAACAGCACATTCGAGGATATCAAATTTACGGTTGAATTAGAGGAGGATAACAAGTTACCATTCTTGGATGTACTGGTCACTAGGAATACCGACGGATCTATGCAAACCTGCGTACATCATAAGAAAGCGCAAACTATCACAGTAACCACCCGATGAATCACAAGAAGAGCTACATCCAAACCCTGTTCACAAGAGCGGAAACCCACTGCAGCACAGTCGAATCGCGGAAACAGGAAGGAAATCACCTACATCGAGTGTTTAGAAACAACGGTTATCCGAGAAATTTCATCAGAAGTAGCTTAAAGAAACGAATGTCTCAGCAACAACAGCAGCAGTCGTCTGCACAAGCAAACAAACGTCCTAAACATCTCCGGACTAACAGGAAGATTGCTGCAGTCACATGGAATCTCTATGGCTCACAAGCCGTGCCACCCTAAGGAAATTGATCTCAAAACCCAAAGAAAAAGTCAATCAAGCCGACCAATGCAATGTCATCTACCAGATAAAATGCAGCGACTGCGATAAAAGCTACGTCGGACAAACTGGAAGAAAGCTTTGTACACGAATCACCGAACACAAGGCGGCTGTCAGAAGACATGATCCGCACTCGTTGGTTTCTGCGCACTAAAATCAAAAAGACCACCATTTCGACCTGGGGAATGTAAAGATCCTAGTACATGGAAGCACAAAACACGCCAGGGAGTTTTTGGAAGCCTGGTAATCTAACACGAAGTCAAGCAATCGATACATCGAACTGGACGTTGTATACGCAACACTACTAACCAACGACCGACAACTCAATCGATTGAATCCGGTGGAATGTGTGACTAGCCAACCAGAACTGACGGCAGAGTCGCTCGCAAGAGCAAGCAGACAAAGGCCACGAAACAAGAAGGCAAGGTCAAAGATCATCTGCCTCTCAACCAAGCTGAACGCGGATTGAAGTCCCAACCAATAGGATTGCTCGTCTCCACCGCCAACCACGGTGGTATAAAAACGACGCACACCACGCTCAGCGCACTCTCACCGAGGTTCTTCCACGCTACTCCATGCTACTGCACACCACTCAGTTGCGCACTGATGATGTCACTTCGGTTGGTGACGAAACGTTTGCAACCAAGTTGCCAAGCTCAGCGAACAATTCAACCGCCACATGATCATTTCACTGACTCATGCGGATTGGTGTGCTGGATTTTAACAGGGGGAAGGGCGTAACCCAAATCCCACCCGGCGGTCGCCATGGGGAGCTCATGGCACAACAGTAGCAGCAGTGGGTAGAGAATCTGTCAGGTTCTAGCCACCACCAGCCTCAGTGCACCATAGGCTATTCTGCCACATATGCGATGTAGAATAAATGTGTGGCCACTGTATTTCAAAGACATTATGAAACGAGTGGTGTTTGTTTACTAATTCTTGGGAAGAGTTTCTCCAATCAGGCGGGCACACCAGTCCAGTAACACTGAAGTTTATCGCTTGGTGTTTAGCCACAGAGACTCTGTTGCTGCACTCGTCTTGTTCTACTCGAGGTACCCTTTCCATATCTGACAGCTGGCCACTTCACCGTGTATGGTTTGTCAACATCCTACCTAATTGGGAGAAACCCAAAGGTGATCAATCAACGACATGAAAAATAGCACGGCGAAACGTGCATAACAGTCGAATCATGTTGGCGGGCGTCATCATACTGGATGGGGCTCTCAGGTTCCGGTATGTTGGTACACTCACGGAATTTGCGAAGGTCTTCCGATGATTATATTGGTTCCGAATCGTAACTCCTCAGTTTGGCAATCTTACTCTTTGACCATTCCTCAAAAATTGTTGATATCTACTTTTCTTACGCGGTACAACTAACATTGCTTACTTCTGATGACGCGATTTCTGACCACTGCATCCAGTGTACTTTTTTGCACAGACCACAGTTAGTCAACCGGACTGATA